CAGAGGTCATGGCCATAGGTGAGAGTAGGAAATGTAGACCGACACATAAAACTCAAGAAACAGAGAGCTTTGTCTTACAGCTCAGCTCACTCTTCACTACAACGGACCAGTACAGAGTCCGCAATACTGCAGATGCTGCACCAATCCGTCTGTAAATCTCACGCTCCATTCTTCCCTCACTCATGAACAAAACCCTGAGATACTCCTGCACTTGAGGCAAAACCTCACCCTCGACCTGAGCTTCTAACTACTTAAAGATAATTAAACAGCCATCCTTGGGAATATTTTTGAAATATGCCCCCCCCCCCCCCCCAAGTTAAACGTGTTGATGAACTGGTTGAAAATAACAAACAAACTTTGTTGTTTTCAACCAGTTTGACACGACTGTTAACAAGGAACAGGGCCGGCAATGGAGGAGGGGGCATGACAAAGAGACCAACTTATCACCAACATAACTGGTTTGTTCCACTTTGGAGTAAGCTGTTGGGGGAAGAATCAGTTTTGTGTTGTGCGTTTCCTTGACTGATGAAGCCTTCTGGATCGAGGGCGAAACGTTTCAGCACAAAAAAAAGAAACTGTCCAGATGACCTGACTGAAAAATGTTGGTTTTGATGAACTGTTTAAAAGTCTTCAACAAATCTTTCTTATTGTTAGGGGGAAGTTATTAATGAGCGGATTAGTAGAACACTGCATGTTCCATTTTTCTTTAGTTTAATATTTACTCTGATTGTTTATGGCCCCATGCAGTAAGCTTTAATATGCTGTCAGTCACAGGACATTATTCATTACGTCAGATTATATTGATCAAAACAGCAGTTGTGGAGTATTATGGGTTAAAATCTCAAGTCACTGCTCTGACAGTCACTAATCATTTTATGTGCCTTCTTTTCCTCCTCATCACTTCCGTTAAGCTCATTCAGTGCATTGTACTCAATAACGTCACCAAAATGTGACTCAAATGGCTCTAAATAATGTAGCTCAGATGTGTCGATGCAATCAGATTGCTCATTGATGGACGTGACTTGATCCTAAGAACATTTTAGGGGATGTATTTAACTCACATGTGTGAACGCTCTCAGTCAGAGCTGTAATCAGATTACCGTACTTTCCGCCGTACACGTCGCATCAGTCCAAATATGTCTAATAAAGTGGGAAAAAAACAAATATGTCACTTCGCCGTACAAGTCGCATCTATTATGCGTCACCGCTGACTTATATGGCGAAGCGACATATTTGTTTTGTTCCCACTTTATTATACATATTTGGACAGAAACGTGGGCCGGTGTTGTGCCAAAAATTGATTGGCAGCCAAACGACGGCTGCGGGAGCGTGCATTGGAGGACTTTAATAAGAATTTAACAAGATTAACACTTTAAAACAATTATTTGTTTGCTCAACATTACAGCAAAGGTGTTTACTTAGTTTAACTTTTCCTTAATAAATACACTTTGACGGTCAAATCAGCTGCATTTCAAAAGCCGATTCACGACCGTGGGAGCGTGCACGGGAGGATTTAAAGAATTTAACAAGATTCATACTTAAAAACAATTATTTGTTTGCTCAAAATTATAGTAAAGGTGTGTCTCAATTGAACTTTTCCTTAATAAATGCACTTTGACAGTCAAATTAGCGGCGTTTCACGTGGGCGGCGAAATTCAGCCGATTTGACGTTTGCTCCTGGAGTTCCGGAGCGAGATGAAGGTGGCTTTGTATGGCAAGCCAAATGTCTCATTAATAGACACTTTTACCTATTAATGATGTACTTGGCTTGCCATATTTATCGAGCGCCCTCTACTGGCTGAAAATGGTAGAGTTCAATATTTTCCATATCAGAATGAAAGAACTTGTCGGATCTCAGCCAAAAATTGAGTTATAAATATGGGAAAAAACATAAATAAGTCGCAGGGCATGCTAATTTATGCAAATAGGTGCAACTTATACAGCAAAAGTACGCAACTCGTTAGGCCCCATTGCCACTCGTGCTAAGGACTGTGGATTTTTACCAATTTTTTTTCAGTTAATTTTTTTTCTCTGCAAATTGTTGCAGTTATATATGTTAATTATGTGGAAATGGTTAAGCGAGGAGTAGGCAGTTTCTGTTCTGCACTTCTTAAATTTCACCTCACAGGCTTTTTTTTTACTACTTGTTGTAGCCACAAAGATGGGTAATCCCAACTTTCACAAATAACCTGGTTTTAAACTCGAGTAATGAGTCCACTGTAGCTGAGTGTTGAAAAACAGGAAACTTTATTGTGTAAGATGTTTGAACTGAAGAAAAATCTGTTCTTCCACATTTCCGCTTTGAACCAGTGATGACATCATCGGACGCGATGCAAAATCCAATGTCAGAGAACAACACAGACAACCTAATTCAACATTTAATCAAATAGGGAGAAATATTGACACTGAATACAGAAGGGTAAATAGAAACCATTGGGGTTATTTTTTTTTTCAAAGATTTTTTCATATATATATTTTTACATTTGGATTACATCTACAGAACTGAAATATGAACAAAACAGACTTCAGTGAAAGCCTTAGCTATGTATATCAGTGAAACATGATCTGCCCTTAAGTCTTTAAACATACTCGCATGGATTTTTCTTTAATACAAAATAAACGGTGACAACCAATATGAGGGTAGTGCAATTTTATCAGGCTCTGGAAATTTTCACACAGAAAATCAGATTTATGGTTTTATTTTTGTTAATCTTTTTGTAAGTGACAAGTAAAACCCTGCGGCGAAAAACATGCGATCCAAAGCCAAGACCTTTACAAAAGACATGTTTGAAATAAACCAGAAGTGCTAGAAGTAAGCTTTTGAGTGCTACACAAAATGTAACTTGATTATTATTTTTCCTCTCTTCTGCTTTGGTCACTTTTGTATAGCGCAAAAAATATTTAAAATAACTCTTCTCTCTTTCCAAACTGTCCCCTTCTCCCTAATATATATATATATATATATATATATATATATATATATATATAATGCAAACGTACAGTGAGCATTCATGTAGACTGTTCCACAGACTTGCAGAATTAACATTTACTTCACAAGACAAACATGTTTAACACTTCCTAATGTATTTATCACATCTACCTTTATCAAACACAAACCAACAAACGGGGGGGAAAATAAAATCATCTCGACTCGTTTAATGTACAAAAATGATTGAGTAAAATTAGTCATATTAAAGCGGTTCAACATGATGCATTTGAAATCACAGAAAATATCTTCTTTACAACAGATCAATCTCCAAAAACACTGATACATTTGTCTTTTTCCTGATTTGAAATCTTATATCTATGGCTCTCTGTCTCCCTTTTGCAAGGCCTTTAGTCGAAACACGTAGAAGAAAGGTGAGTACTGAGATAAATGTAAAAAATACTTTTGTTATAACAGACACGGTTTACGTTGCACCGGATATGCCAGCGTCGCTATATACATCTACTGTATGTGTTGAGGAGAAAGAGCAGGGCTGTGGTTTACATCTGCACGTTAAAGCTGGTTTCCAGAAGCACCACCACCTGAAAACTGCTGTAATACTGAACGCAACGAAAACAAAAACCTCAGAAGAATCGCTCCGGTTAGCGGCGCCGAGGCCGAATTAAGAGGCTAAAGCTAAACGTTTGAGCTGTGCAAACGACCCTCGTTTAAGATTAGTAAAACCAGTTAGTAAAATTGAAAAAAAAAAAAAAAAAGATGGCTCATAAATGAATAGCTGCTTGTATGAGTGTGGGAGCTATTAGCTGCAAATAACATAGAAAAGACTGGTCTCCATGGAAACCTGCTACCTGGTTTGACAACGAGTCGCTCGAAGTTCTACGGCGTAAACGGGTGAAAAATGTAGAAAAGTTTGACATTTTGCCGCTGAGGACAGAGGGAGGTGGTGGGTGGCGTCGTGTTTTCCCCGGATTTTTGCTTTGGCCGTCACAGAAGCTGGTATGAACACTTTCACAAGACAAATGCCGCAAATGCAGACAAATATCTTCTTTTTTTTTTTTTTTAAATATAATTTTAGAAATTACATCTCATTTAAAATAACTGGATTTTATAAAAAGCAGATAAAAATTTGTATATATATATATATATGTATATATATTTTTTATTTTTATTTTAATCATACACTCTGATGATAACAATCACGTCGTTGTAAGCTGGTGTGACACGGACGATTGAGCACCCTGAAGCAAATGTTACGATCCAAAACTGGATGAGAACTCTCTCGTATAACTCCAGGAAGGAAAAAAAAAATCTTTTATGATTTTTGGCACCAGTGGGACGCAGGTAAGTGACGTAATCACTTCTAGCCTGAGCTATTATTCACAAATTACTTAGACAAAACTGCAGCTTCTTCCAACAATATTCCTGGTAGGTGTGCTGTAAAAAGGAGCTGGTTCTACTTTCACTACTACAAAACAAAACAAGACAATAAACTGTACATATACCACTGTGATACCCCTGTTAGGTTCAAAAGTACAATCAAACTGACCATTTATGTGCAAGGTGTGATTTTATTTTTTGAGGATGGAACAGGAAATCTGTCTTTTCAAGTGGAGCTCCTGAAAACTACATTTGGACATGGAACTATGGGAAACAGTTTGCTCAGTGGTAGCAGCTGGCAGTGAAAGAACAGGTTCTGACAACAAGGTTTGCAAGAATCATTATGGCTATTGTCAAATGCAAACACACCCTGGGTATTTAATGCTTTGGATGCCTTAGTCAAAATCTAGTTCTAAAACTCCAATGCATCGGAGGAGTTTACATGGGTTACCAATCTTTTTGTATTTAAATATATACAAAATTAAAGGGATAATTAAGATTGTTTAAAGTGGGGTTCTCTGGAAGGGGTATGAACAATTCATATCTAACCTGTTGTAGACAGCTCTTGGAAAGGTCTATAGCCTGTTCGATATATCGGTAGGGCCGATATTTTAGGCCGATATATTTGAGGGAAATATCGGTATCGACGATAATTGTCCCATTATGTGCCGATATAAACACTTCTAATTTTCACCCCTCAATTTTTTTCTGCCATTACATCGGTTATCGGCATTAGCCTTCCCAACAACAGTATTGGCGATAGCCAAAATGTCCATATCGGTCGGGCTCTAAAAATGACTAAAAATTCCTTAAGTAAAATGAACAATGATGCAAAGGTTTTTAAAACACCGTTTGCATGAACCGCTACGATTTCAAAGTTTTTATTTTTAGATGGCAGCACTTCAGTTTGGTCTCACTCTGACTAGCCATTAGCTCATCGGGTAAGAATTAAACTGGTTTCTCCAAACTCGAGGAGCTATTTAAGACAGGTAAGATATTATCTACTTCAACCTATTCCACAGAACTACACTTTAAAAGATATACTCACTTTTACGCCAACTGTCCCAAAACATTAGGTTTAAGTATGTTTTTAATTTTTTAATGTCTAAGACAATGCTGGTGGCAGCGTGTGCAAGACGTGTTTATCAATCGAATCAGACTTCTAACATCAGTTGCTATTTGAACTATTTGTACCAAATTAAAACTGTTCCAATTGAAATACCACAGGGTGACTTTGTTCCACGACCAGAGAGCCGAGTTAGAACACACCACGTTAAAACCAGTAAAAACTCCGTTTGAAAACCCAGTACTAGTGGAAAAATGACAAACAGACCAAATCTCTAGAAAGATGTCATCTATGGATTTGAATGCAGAAATAAGAGTTAGACGAGGATGGCTATGAAGAGCGTAAAAACTAAAAGGCACTAGTTTTCCCTCAAATACATCCTGTGTAAACATGTGGCTGAACAAATGTGCGTGTGTTTGATGAGAGCGGGACTTCTGCGTATGCATCACACATGAACAACGTTCCTCCTTTCTGTTGGACGAGTAAATGAATCAGATTTACATCCTTTCTGTCCTCGAGTCCAGAGGAAGAACTCCTTTTTGTGTTTCCTCCTCCTCTTCATCACCAACAGCGTTCTGGGGAAAACCCAGGACGGCGGACAGTCTTTACATTTGCTGTGCGGTGAAGCGTTGCAGGTGAGCGGATGAACACTAAGGCTTGGGCTGATGATCCCCACGAGTTGTGAAGTGTGGGAGCCGCGTTGCGTGGGGAAACGGTTGTATGCATGAAAACAGCTATGGAACTCTGCAGGCAAAAAGGACATCTTCAGAATCTTTAAATATGTCTAAAGTCAGGGCCGTGGTTGAGGGAGTGACAAAAACTGATTTTCCATCTTACATTCAGAGACCAAATTCTTCTCGGTTAACCAAGACAGCAGACTACAGGTCAGAGGTTGGATTGACCACAACCAACTGAAAAAAGGAGGTTTGAGGCCAGCAGTGCTTTGCTTGGAGATTAGGTTGAATGGTCCATTGCTGGAGGGAAGAGGGGGGACAAACCAACCCGAAAAACAAGAAACCAGACCAAAGTGATGAGGGTTGGCAGAATAAGGAAGTGTTTGAGGGGGCTCTGTACAGGAACAGGTATAGGGTTGGATTTAAGGCATCGATTCACAGTTTAAGGCAGTCATTTCTGATGAAACAGCAGAGGTTTGACGCTCCCATCTTTGAATTTTGGTATCTGGTTGGTGATGATCTCCGCCAGCATCTCTGGGAATTCCACACTCAGGGTTTTATTCACAAAGGTGTGAAAGCAGATCTGCAGGAGACCCTCAACCATCTGAAAAAGAGAACGCAACAATCGTTTTGCAAAGATTACTTGAATGTTTTTCCACAGTAGCTTCCAGTAGACCTAAAACAGGCCTGTATAATGAAACGGGAACGTTCCTGGAGAAACTCTGATAGGGACTGCCACGTGGTGGCCATGTTAAAATTTAGAGTTGACAGTACTATGTGCTGGGGTTTGCTCTCAACTACTATCACACCAAATTTCAGCTTAACATCTCTAAAAATGGCCGATTTACAGTATTTTTCCTTTTTAGCTCAGGTGGCCATCTTGGATTTTTCATTTGGATTCAATATGTGATGGGGAATGTTCTCAGCTATAACCACACCAAGTTGCAGTTCTATATGTGTAACAATAGTCGAGTTAAAGCCAATTAATTAATTAATTAATTAAGTAATTAAGTAATTAAGTTAAATGTTGCTTTGGTGGCCATCTTGAATTTTTTAAAATTCATTATTTATTGAGCATTGCTCTCAGCTACTATCACACCAAATTTCAGCTTAATATCTCTAAAAATGGCCAATTTACAGTATTTTTCCTTTTTACCTCAGGTGGCCATCTTGGATATTTGATTTGCAACCAGAGTCTACAAAAATGACTAATAAAAATGGAGTCTTTTTTTGCAAATTATGTTGCCATGGTAACTTGAAACAACAAAAAGTAACAGCACACATCACGGTGCTGAGCCGGTCGTTTTGACAGATGTGGGGGGGACACGTTGCGGTTCAGGCCACATTAAAGTTGATGAAGAGTAAGATACAAAGTTAAGAAACCCTTGTCAGGTGGATTACCAGGCAGTCCCCAATAAGGACTGACCAACTTCATTGGAGGGCTGCTATCATTTGCATCGGACACGGAGCACCAACTTCCTGTGTGTGTGTGTGTGTGTGTTTTCTGACCTCCTGCATGGAGTCCAGTAGCTTAGTTAGCTGGTAGAAACGCTGCCAGTTCTGACTCGTGTTCTCCTCTCTCTTCACGATGGCTTTTCCCAGCTCCTTGATGTACGTCATCCTGATCTCGTCAAAAATCGCCTGGCTCTTCAGGCCCTCTTTTGGTACTATGCATGTAAAACAAACAAACAAACAAACAAACAAACAAACAAACAATCATTTAAAACTGCATGAGAGTGGTAGGCTTTGGTTGTCATACCAGGATTATTACAATAAAACAAAAAGAAACTTGAGGAGTAATTCAAGAAGTTTTGTTTGTAAAACTTCTACAACAGCATTTACAAAAAAGTTGGGTTTTTGTTTAAACCAGGGGTTCTCAAACTTTTTGGGTTCAGGGACCCCCTCATAACCCTCACGTTTATTAAATAATTTTATTCAGTTTGTCTCTTTAATGCAATGGAAATATTTGTGTAACATAAATACTTAAGACCTGTTCTTTAATAGTGCTAATACAATTTTTATATTTTTAAACATGGTATTTTTCATTCAAGACACACTTAATTTAAAAAATGTTTAATTTCAACTTCCAAAAATTAGTTTTGAGAAAATTAACAGCATCAAAAACCACTTTAAAACTTTACCCATTCACTTAATGAACATAATAAATGTGTTGCCACTTCTTCAAATTATTATGGAAAACTCTTTACATAAAACTGAACAGAATCATAACAGCATAATACCAATAATAACATAATACCAAGGAACAGGACTTAATGTGTAAACGAATCAGACTGTCTGTCTCAATGCTGGAATGCAAATAGTGGGGTGGGGGGGTTGGTCTGGGGGTCCTCCCCCAGAAAAGTTTGAATAAAGTAGATGCAATTTCCTGCATTTTGCTGTATTTTAACAGCTTGTTAAACATCTACGAGCTTGTAAAAAAATATTATATATATATATATATATATATATAATTTTTTTTTTTTTGCGGACCCCCAAGGACCAGCTCGCCAGTTTGAAAACTACTGGTCTAAAGTGTTAATAAAACAGAATGGAATCATTTGCTAATCTTAAACACATTTTACTCCTAATAGAAAATAGTAAACCTTTCAAATATTTCACTAAGAAATTGTAAGCTAGCGGCGCGCAATACAGGTATGCTAGCTAAAAAGTTAAAAGGCAGCGCTTACTCTGCCTCTTCCCTCACACTGAACCCCCCCACCCGGTTCGAAAACTGTCGGCACAAACAGCGTGCAGCTCAAACGTGTGTCAAACAACGCCCCGCCACACACACACACACACACACCATCGACAAAAATGACGGACAAGCTGAGGGCCACACCATGGCAAGTTATCATGGGGAAACACTGGAGTAGTTTTTAAATTTAATTGCAGAACCCGTCTTTAAAAAACTGGGACAGGGAAGCAAAAGGCTGTAAAAGTGAAGTAGCATGACTAACAGCTGGAGCAGCATTTTGCAGCTAATTAGGTTAATTAGGAAAAGGTCAATAAGAGGACTGGGTATGAAAAGAGGCTGAAATATACAGAAACAGTCTGATTTGGTTTTTCCACAGTAAATGAAACTCACTCGCGATGTGCTACATGAGGAAAAATAATCCCAGGCTCTTATTTAAATCTTTCCCCGATGATGTCATCGAGAAAAGACAACACACAGAAGCGAGCTGGGATCAGAGTCTCAGGTTAGATTGTTGATCTTTGTCAGCGCCATGAAATGTGGAACCATTTTCCTTCTGAACACGGTGAAAGCCAGAGTCCTGCTGTTGAGCTAAACCACATGTCTGAAAGTTCTGGTTATGCAAAACACCGTAATTCAACTTTAGGAGACAAACTGTTGAGATTCGGCGAGAGCTGGAAAGATTGGAGGAACAAAAAAAAAAAAAAGCTTTAAACTTGAACACATTGAACAGGAGCAACCACACTCAACCCAGTGTCTGAACACCAGTGTACATATGTGACCTTCTCGTCAGTCTGCTGCATGGCACGGAGCCCACTGAGAGCTACACACATTATGCAAAAGGCCGTGACATTGTAATTTTTACATAATCACTTCTAAGGGAGCCACTGCAGTGGAAGTGCTCTCAGGACTTTTTGTGTTTGCAGTTTTAATAAAGACATTTTTTTTCAGACAGATTGCCTCCGGCTCTTTACTCCACGCTGTTTTACATCTTACAACTGAATCCTGCTCCTTTCAGCAGCTGAGCATTTATAGAAAAGGCTACAACGACCTCTTTTACAAGCCATCGTTTAAATGTAAGATTCTCCTTTAAATTTAACATCACTAATCAAAAGAAACGTTTCAAGGGAGGCTTCGTTTTTGTCGATAGTTGGTGATGTTCGAACCGGCTCCAACCCGGGCGGTCCTGACCTGATTGTTTTTCCACCACCACCGGGAGCGGATGGAAATAACTCTCAGGTATAAAAATGCAACCAGTGCTTGGTATGGAAATGTAATTTCCTCTGCATGATGAGCAAATCCTCATTTTTTTCTACCAGTCATGGAGAATAAGGCAGAATGTTTATTTAATATATATTTATTTGTTTACTGATGTCTGTTGGTTGATTTTAATTGCAATATTAACCAAACATTAGAGGCCGTCAACAGGTTTGAGTTTTTTTGGAGTGGGTCAAAAAGCACCAGAAACAAGGGTTTGCTGACCATTTATATTTCTTCCAGACATAATTGACGTCTCTCCTTTAATTTGAACCTTTTAAAGTGCAAATCAAATCCATCCAGAGTAAATACGGAATAAATGAATGAATCTTTACAGGATCCAATTTTAGTCAAGGAAAAAAAATAAAATAAAGACTTTCTTGTAATGAGTTTGTTCATTATGTGCTCTTATTTAAGTAACTTGTGATGATCAAATACGTTGAACAGTAGTTCATCCTGGAAGATAAGAAACAAAATGGTTCTAATTTCACTCTTCTCCGACCTTCTGTGTTCTTCTTGTTACTGAGAGGAAATGAGTTTTTGTCAGACGTCTCAGGTTATTGTCAAATTATTGAGTACAGAGAGGAGAGAGGCTCCAGCTCCTCCACAACATGGAAAGGAAGAAGGGACGAATGGACGGATGGATGGATGGATGGATGGAAACAAAAGGTGAACAAACTCAATTTCCATTTTTAAGACTGCACTTAGAAATATTTCTATATTTGTATTATATAACTCATTTTTAAGAGATATAGGGTATTATTTGTGTGCTTATAAA